AGGTATATGCAGGTCTGTGTTTTGGGACCAAGCTTGCCACCTTGCTTCCTGCACGTGTGGGAGCTGAACAATACATACGCAGTACACCCCCAGACGCGTAGAGAGCAGGCGAAGGACGTGGCCCCAAGCCAGAGAGTGGTAGGTGTGGTGTCGGGTCAGTGGGGATGCAGATATAGGTTGTAGAGGAGTGCCGCATGGAAGGGCATATCCCTAGACTGACCGTGGTGCATTGGCGTGACTGAGGAGGCAACGAGCGATCTGAACCAAGGTGTGGTTGCGGCTCTCTGCAATGCCATTCTGTTGCAGGCTTTCGGGGAGCGTGGAGGTTTGCTGAATCCCTTGCACCGCACAGAAGTTATCGAGTTTGCCATTGCGAAATTCTCCCCTGCCATCAGAATGGAGGCACTTCAGAGGAGTGCCGAACGTGACTTGAGCCTGGCGCACCCATGCTATGATGAGGTCAGGTGCCTCCGCCTTGGTGTGCAGGAGGTGCACGGAAACATATCGCCATGCACCTGGCTAGCACGAGGGCCGTGCTTGATGACGCAGGGACACGGGGGGAAGCGGTTGTGCTGGAATGGTGCCGAAGCGGCATAGGCCTGAGGCATGGGAGCGCGGATAGCATTGGCCTTGGCTTGAGTGCTGTTTTCCTTTTCGGCAGAAAGGAGTGCGCATGAGACCTTGGCAAATGTGAGGTCCCCAGGAGCAAGGCCCAAGATCATCTTGCGTATGACTTCGTATGCCAGAGTGACGGCGATTAGGAGAGCGGCTGCAGGGGCTTGCTCGGAGAAGACTATCCCTAAACCATGAATGGACTGCACCTTGGCGACATAGTTTGACATGCCTGACGAGTCCTCGAGCCGCACTTGGAACATGCTGGGGATGAGTATATCAACTCCCACTATAGTGTTGTTTAGGAAGGGGTCTTCGGGGTAGAGCCAAATGGCGTTGGCAGATGGGTAATTGTGGTAGGTTTCGACAAGTTTGGGGTGCCCATGAAGACACTAATGAAGACACTAATGAGCGCGCCATTGGCCTTCTCCCGATTGTTGTACTTGAGCAGTGCAGCAGCACAAACTGCTCCGGCGGCAGCATTAGCTGGATCGGCAGACCTCTCGGGTTTAGGAGGCTCTTTGCCATCACCGATGTTAAGAAGGACGTCGGTGAGCTTGAGCCCCTTCACCACGCGACTGAGAAGGTGCTTGTCGACACAATAGCGCCTTATAGTTGGTGGTTGTACCATCCGACTCGAGACGAAGGCGCGGGATCGAGTTGGCGAGTAAAGTGGTTGAGTACGCCATTGACGCTTGATTTTCGCGATGCGATGCTCTTAGGTCACCGATAGGAACTTCGGTGCACAGCGCGGCACTTCTGGAAATTAGTCGACAAATGTTGTTGAAAATCAATTCGCCGGCTTCGTGGAAATGCCGCTAACAAGGAAGTGGCGTTGGCGGAAATTTGTTTAAACGCCAACTTGAAATTGAATCGGAGACTATTTCTTATCCCGGACCCACACACCCCCCCACACACCCCCAGGCCCTATCCCGCAGCTATACAGCTCCGCAACCAGCTCTAAACCAGCTCCGCAACCAGCTCCGTAACCAGCTCCGCTCCGCTTCCACATGTGTACTTGCTGTAAGAAATAGAGCTGAAATGATTAATTAGGTAAGAAGCCCAAATCCCTATAAGTGTAAGAAATAGAGCTGAAATGATTAATTAGGTATGGATCCCAAGGCTCTATAAGTACATGGCAAGGTGAGAGAGAATGGATGAAGGGGAGAATCCGAGGGAATCCCCATTGGGATCTCCGGAATCTCCGATTGGGTAATTGGAGATTGGGGGGATCACAATTGGGTGAGGTTGGGATTTGTGAGTACACCCCGACCCACCAGAACATTCCTAGCCTAAACTAGGATATGAACATACAAATACAAAAGTGGGACTGCAATCTATTTCTAACACACCCCCATAGACTGCAAACCCGGTCAAGGAGCACATAGCCCCATGGAACAGAGAAGGCGATGGTGGTCAGCCTTGCCGAGAGCCTTGGTAAAGAGGTCGGCAAGGTTGCAATCTGAGGAAATGTGCCATACCATCAGCTGGTCACTCTGAACAAGAACTCGAATAAACAAATGACGAAGTTCAATGTGCTTGGTGCGAGAGTGGAACACAGGTTCCTTGGTGAGGTGAATGGCGCTCTGGTTGTCACACCACAGGGTGGGCGACTGCTGGGGGTAGCCTAACTCAGCGAGGAGAAAGGAGAGCCAGCGTGCCTCTTGAGCAGCCATTGTGCCTGCGTAGAGCTCGGCCTCGCAGGACGACAGGGAGACTGCAGAGGACCGAGTGGAGCGCCAGCTGATGACTCCGCTACCAAGGGTGAAGCAGTACCCTTGGGAGGAGCGTCTGTCAGTCTGGTCATCGGCCCATGAGGAGTCTGTGTATCCCTCGAGCTTGACTGGAGAGGTAGCACCAAGAGTGAGGATGTGAGACTTGGTGGCTTGTAGATAGCGGAGGACCCTTTTGGCTGCAGACCAATGCGGGGCAGTGTAGCGTCCGGGGGAGACGTACCGAGAGAGGACACTAACCGGGTAAGCCAAGTCTGGTCGAGTGCACATCATGGCATACATGAGTGAACCGACTAGCTCAGGGTACGGGTCCTTGCAGGCGAAAGGAGAAGGAACTGGAGGGGCCGTGAGCTGATGCTGTAGTGGGAGTGGAGTGGAGACAGAGTTACTGGAGTCCATGTCGAACCGCTTGAGAAGGTTGTCTATGTAGGACTCCTGGGAGAGCGTGATCGTGCAAGCCTGGCAGTCACGAGTGATCTCCATCCCCAGGTAGTTCTTGAGGTCACCAAGATCCTTCATGAGAAGGGCGGAGCTGAGAGCAGACTGGACAGCTGCCATCTCAGCTGGATCTGTGACCACTAGAATAAACTCGCCAACGTAGACGAGGATGCAGAAAGGCTCAGAGGAGTGACAAATGAAGAGACTGGAATCTGAGGCAGAGGGATGGAAGTCAAGCGCGAGGAGGACTTCCTTCACCTTGTTGTGCCACTCACGAGGAGCCTGCTTCAAGCTATACACAGGGCGCTTCAGCTTCCACACTATGTTGGCAGGGTAAGTGCCAGGAAACTCCGGTGGGCGTTCCATGTGAACATCCTCCTTGAGCTGGCCTTGGAGAAAGGCGGAGGAGGCGTCCATGGACTTGATCTCGAAGTTGTCGCAAGCGGCTATATCAAGAAGAGCGCGCATAGTCGGGAGCTTGGACGTGGGCGAGAATGTTTTGAAGAAGTCGAGATACTCCTTTTGGGTGAAACCCTTCGCCACGTATCGTGCCTTGAATAGTGGAGCTTTGCGAGGGAGTTATTTGACTCGGAAGATCCATTTTCCGACGACGATGTGGGCAGCGGAAGGAGAAACGGAATCGCCAAAGCTGTTGTTGCGAATGAACGCCTCGTTCTCCACATCCGTTGCTGCCTTCCACTCCTTATAAGGCCCGAGAGAGCTTCCTCTTATGTGCGAGGAGTCGGAATGGTCGGGTTCTTGGTGAAGTTGAGGGAAGGGCAGTCAATAATGTCCGGGAAGATGTGTGAGAGAAATTGGAAGACCGCGTGAAGGTCAAACAGCTCCTCATGCCTGTCCTCCAGAAGTGCACGGGGGGGAATACGGATGGAGGGGACATCACCCCCGGCAGAAGGAGGTGTTGGTGCATATTCGTTTGCACGTCATCCTGTCGACTGTTCGCATCATTTTGTTGCATGTGTCTTGTGTGCTACGTTGTTTGTGTGGTTTGTTGGGTTTGCATGTCTTTGCATATTCATTTTGTGCTTGTGCAGATGTGCTTTGATTGTGCATGACATCGAGCACATTTCAACGAGCCAAGAATTGTTGGAATCGGAGCACATATGAAGAAGTTACGAAGAAGTGTTTGATGGATTTGTTACAACTCATTGGAAGTCCTTGGCAGCTGCTACATCAAAGTTGGAGAGCCCTATAACGAGGAGGGACCAGCATGTGTGGGAATTTTGTCCTCACCTTGCAGCTGCAGCATTTGGGGGTTGGAGGCCAACCTAGCACAGTGTGAATTTTGTCTTGCCAGGCTGGTTGAACTTGAGGATGGGGAGTCAAGACTTTGACTCTTGTCATGTTCTTGACCATGGGCCTCCAGGGTCCTTCCCTTTTATCCTTCCCTTTCATCCCCACCTTCCAACTGTGCTTCAATGCCTTTTCCATCATGCCTTTGAACTTGTAAGCTTCAATTATAGTGACTCTGAGGACTGTCAACTTCTCCTAGGGCAGATTACCCCCCAGTGCGCCAAACGCCACAGCTCACTCGTTAAGCTACGGAATCGAGTGATTCAACTTTCAGTGAAAAGCTGACGCTGCGAGCTACAACATATCTGATGGAGATTTTGGATATAGCTTTTCGAAGGTCGCGAGTTTTCTGGGCGTCATAACGAAGTGCTGCAGAAAATTCCAAGGAGCCATTGAATCATCTGCTTATAGCCTTCTCTAACCAACAAGTGGTTTCAGAGCCCATTATCACGCATTTGGGACCTAAAATACGATGGGAGATAAGGAGGACTCTGGTGGAGGTGATACTTCAGTCCAAGGAGGCAGCTCAACCCAAGATTCTGGCATTGCAGAACAAAGGGGAGCGCGTACAAGCCAGGGGTCACTGCTTAAGGAGGTGCTGAAGAACTTCACCATTGAGAAGTTCTCTGGAGATGGCTATGATGATTGGGCATGGAAGATGCAGCTCTACTTTCGACAAATTGGCCTCTTGAAGCTCATGATTGGAACGGAGCCAAGGCCAAAGGAAATGGCAGAGCAAGCGGTTTGGATGAACGTTCATCTGCTGGGTATTATCTACTGTCACAAAGCTTGGAGCTGAACCAGAGGCATCACATCATGCATCTGCTACCGGAAACTGATTGTGGGCCCAAGGCATGGGCAGTGCTCAAGGACGTGCACGCTCCGACATCGGTTGTCGCTTCTCTCATGCTGGATCGGGAGCTGTCCATGCTGCGGTTGAGCGAGAATGAACCTGTGCAGCCCGTTCTGGACAAGATGAGGGAACTCTACGCGAAATTGGCGATTGCAGGCATCACGTACCCCGAGCAGACAAAGTGTCTCAAGATGCTCAGCCTGCTGCCCGAGTCTTGGCTGCAATCTATAAGCGGACTCAGCTTGCCACAAAACCAAAGTCAATGGACATTGGAGTGGATTCGCACCAAGATTCTGGAAGAAGATTTTCGTCGCTATACATTGCGCGGAGGTGATGACAGCACCAGCGGCTATGCCATGCAAGGGACATGGAGGGATCGAGGGCGTGGCAATCGCGGTCGCTCTCACTACAGCCAAGGTGGTCGCGGGACTTGGAACCAGCGGGGGCGTGGTGGCGCTGGTGCAAGAGGAAGAGGTGGTCACTCCAACAATGACAACAGTGAACCACGCTTGAGGGGAGAGTGCTGGTATTGCAAGGAAGAAGGGCATCCATGGTTTCGCTGCTCTACCAAGCCCGACTGGTGGACCCCTTGGAACCAATCGCAAAAGGGGAATGGAGGAAAGCAACCACATGGATGTGCCAACATGGTAGCTGATCCTGCTGAAGAAACCTCCAAGGATGACAGAGGAATGGGAAATGAGGAGAGGAATGCTGGACAGTTCTACCATGTGTGTGACAAAGATGACAGTGGCACAGCTGTTGCAAGGGCTGGAGAGGAATTGCACCCGCTTGACACGTGGGTCATGGACTCTGGTGCTGCATGGACAATGACACAACGCAAGGACTTGCTGGATGCTGTGCGAGCGCCTCCAATCTCCGAAGTGCGCTCAGCATCCGGACATGCAGTGAAGGTCGCTGGAGTTGGTCGAGCTGCATTTAGAGCACCTGATGGTGGACTGGTTGTGCTGAAGGACGTGTTACTCATACCAGGGCTGAAGGCCAATCTGATATCGCTGCGCAAGCTAGGCCAGGCCGGAGTCAGCACCACCACCAATGGATCCAAAACATTCAAGGGGCTGCGAGGAGATCGTGTGTTATGGGATTTACACGAAAGCAGAGATGTCTTCAGATCCATGTGGCAGATCCCTGCGCTGATATGGGAATCAACAAAGGAGGAGTTGGGAGTAGTAAAGGGGGGATCTGGAGTCCAGGAGGAGTGCAATGCAGTTAGTGCTGTAGGAGTGACGGTTTCTGCAAGGTCGGGGGAGACTGATTGGGAAACCGCACACATGCATCTAGGGCATGTGGCTATGCCATTGCTGCAGCAACTGCATAAGGAAGAAGCAGTAAAGGGGCTGAAGCTTTCTGGGCAACCAAATGATACCAAGTGCGAGACGTGTCTGCTGAGCAAGTTCACACGGTTCCCCTTTCACGGCGTAGCTGGGAAAAGCAAGGCAGCACTAGAACTGGTGCACATGGATCTGGTAGGACCTTTCCAGTTCAAGGAAGAAAGGGGGAAAGATACTTCCTAACAATAGTTGATGACTGGAGTCGGCTGATGTGGGCATACCCATTGAAGCAGAAGGATCATGCTGCCTCAACAATACGAGATGACTGGCTGTCGTTCGTCGAGCGACAATCTGGGCACCCATGCAAGAGCATCAGAACCGACCGAGGTGGAGAGTTTCTAGGAGGAGATCTGACTGCGTGGCTCAAGAAACAAGGCATTGAGCCTCAGCTAATGACGTCCTATACCCCTCAGTCAAATGGCGTTGCTGAGAGGGCTAATACGACCATCCTGGAAACTGCGCGAGCGCTGCTGATCGAATCAGGGCTGGGAAATTCCATGTGGCCTCATGCGGTGAGGCATGCTACAATGGCAAGGAACCGCGTACTCACAAAGGTGGCTGATGATATGTGGGTGCCGCTGGAGAGGTGGCTTGGAAAGAAGCCTCCAGTGGACATGCTTAGAGTGTTCAGATGCATGGCAGTGGCGCATGTCCCTAAACCGTACAGCACAAAGCTTGGAGCATCTGCACTGTGGTGTGTGCACCTTGGGCTTGCGGCAGAGAGCAAGGGGTGGCTACTCTGGGAGCCCTCAAAGAATGTGTTGTTTGACAGTCGGGATGTCAAATTTGTCGAGAACATCATGTATGGCAAGTGGGAGAAGCAGCCGGAGGCAAGGGTCACTCAGCAGCTGATGAAGGAAGCAATGAGAATATTGCAGCTGATGCTGAAGTCAAGGATCCGGAGCAGCAGCAGCAAGAGGCTTCCAAAACACCAAGTCTGCCAAAGCGAAGGAAACAGATTGGTGGGGGGACAAAGGATTGGATGAAGGTGAAAGAATGGGTAAATCCAACCATCTACCCTGCACGTACCAGAATGGCAACAAGAAAGCTGCTAAGCTCTAGAAGTGGAGGAGCCACAACAGAGCAGCAGGAAGAGGCTCAAGGCGAAGATGCAGTGCTGTTCTTGGGTGATGACCAAGAGTCAGATGACGAGGAGCCTGCATACTGCTTTTACGCACCAATACAACCTCCGAGCATGGATCATGCGCTAGCCGGGCCTCAACGGGGGAAGTGGCTTGTTTCAAGAGATGCAGAGCACAACAGCCAGATGGAGAATCACACATGGGACCTGGTGTACTTGCCAAATGGGAAGAAGGCAATATAGTGCAAGTGGCTGGCAAAAATCAAGACGGATGAGAAAGGAGAGCCATCAGTTTACAAGAGCAGGCTGGTGGCAAAGGGGTTTCAGCAGAAAGAGAAGGAAGATTATAAAGAAGTGTTTGCCCCAACTGCTAAGTCTCCAACGCTACGTGTGCTGCTGGCGGTAGCTGCTGTGCGCAAATGGAAGGTGAAGCAGATGGACATCGTAACCACTTTTCTGTACGGCATTGTGGAAGAGGAGGTGTACAAGGTTCAACCACCTGGCTATGAGGATGGAACCGGTCATGTCTGCAAACTTAACAAGGCCATCTATGGCTTGAAGCAGGCCTCGAGGTGCTGGTACAATAGGCTGGCCAGTGCACTGGAAGGGATTGGATTCCGTGCGAGTGCATGCGACGAGAGCCTATTGCTGATGGGCGAGGGGGAGTTGCTTGTGCTTCTGCTGGTGTACGTGGATGATATCATGCTCTTCAGCAGCAGTGACAAGGAGATCGATGGGGTGCAGCGGAAGCTCACAGAGCAGTTCAAGTGCAAGTCACTTGGAGAGGCAAGGTACTACCTGGGAATGCACATTGAGCGGGATACTGAACGTGGCTGGCTCAAACTGCATCAGGGACAGTACATCCACACCTTGGCTGAGAAGTACTCTCTGCAGGAAGAACAGACAGTGGTCACACCTTTGCCTTCCGAGTTCAAACTCATAAAGGCAGCTGAAGGAGAAGGAGTTGAGAGTGAAGACCTGAGGCAATTCCAATCCATGGTCGGGAGCCTACTCTACGCTGCTGTGCATACTCGGCCTGGCATCAGCTTTGTTGTAGGACAGCTGGCTTGAGTAGTGCAAAATCCAACAGAAGAGCAGTATGGTGCAGCGGAGAGAGTGGTGCGCTACCTCAAGTCATACCCTACAGTGGGAGTACAGTATTCAGCCTCTGCTCAACTCTGGCAAAAAGGATTTGAAGTCCTCAAAGAGAAGGGGGAGCAGCTCGGAGAAGGAAAGGTGTTCCTTTCCTGTTTTGCTGATGCCACATGGGCTTCTGAACATGAGGATTCATCATCAGTAGGTGGATACATTTGCATGGTGGGAGTTGGGCCTGTAAGTTGGAGGTCCAAGAAGCAGTCTGAAACGGCACTATCTTCAGTGGAATCTGAGTACATGGCGATGTTTCATGCGGCAAAAGAAATCATATGGCTAAGGAGGCTCTTGAAGGAGATCGGCCATGAACAGACTTGTGCGACACCTCTGTTCAGTAACAGCAAGGGAGCCATTGCCATGGCACGCAATGCAGTTCTCCATGGGTTGAACAAGCACATGAGGATCAAGTGGCATTGGCTGCGGAAGGAGGTAAAGCTTGGGACACTGGATCCGATCTACGTGAAAACTCAGCAACAGCCAGCTGACTTCCTTACCAAGCGGCTAGCTGAAGAGCCACACTGGCGCTGTGCAAGGATGGCGGGAATATCCTTGAATTAGAGACGGCGAAATAAGCCGACAGTCTGAGGGGGAGTGTGTTGGTGCATATTCGTTTGCACGTCATCCTGTCGTCTGTTCGCATCATTTCGTTGCATGTGTTTTGTGTGGTACGTTGTTTGTGTGGATTGTTGGGTTTGCGTGTCTTTGCATATTCATTTTGTGCTTGTGCAAACGTGCTTGGATTTTGCATGACATCGAGCACATTTCAACGAGCCAAGAATTTTTGGAATCGGAGCACATATGAAGAAGTTACGAAGAAGTGTTTGATGGATTTGTTCCAACTCATTGGAAGTCCTTGGCAGCTGCTACATCAAAGTTGGAGAGCCCTATAACGAGGAGGGACCAGCATGTGTGGGAATTTTGTCCTCACCTTGCAGCTGCAGCATTTGGGGGCTGGAGGCCAACCTGGAACAGTGTGAATTTTGTCTTGCCAGGCTGGTTGAACTTGAGGATGGGGAGTCAAGACTTTGACTCTTGTCATATTCTTGTACATGGGCCTCCAGGGTCCTTCCCTTTCATCCTTCCCTTCCATCCTCATCTTCCAACTGTGCTTCAATGCCTTTTCCATCATGCCTTTGAACTTCTAAGCTTCAATTATAGTGACTCTGAGGACTGTCAACTTCTCCCGGGGCACATTACCCCCCAGTGCGCCAAATGACACAGCTCAGTCGTTAAGCTACGGAATTGAGTGATTCAACCTTCTGTTGAAATCTGACGCTGCAAGCTACAACATATCTGTTTTTCAGATCGGTTCACCGATTGGAGTTTTGGATATAGGTTTTCGAAGGTCGCGAGTTTTCTGGGCGTCATAACGAAGTGCTGCAGAAAATTCCAAGGAGCCATTGAATCATCTGCTTATAGCCTTCTCTAACCAACAGGAGGCGGGGTGACCGAACACCGGATGGAGAAGGTGGCTGGTCCCCGGGCGAGAGGCGGAGCCGGTCCCTTGCAATGAGTGCGACTATAGACCGGAGACGAAGGCGGCTGCGGTGGGTCCGGAGGGACTGGGCGCCTCCGGTAGGAGACTGGTGAGCCGGGCTCGATGCTTGGGGAAGGCGGAGCAGGAGGAGGTGTCGTTGCGAAGGATACCGGGGAGGCTGGGTGAGACACGTCGGACGGAGAAGGCCCCGAAGAAGGGGCAACGGCTGGAGGTGGGGCATCGAAGTCTGCCCAAACAAGCGCCAGGGGAGGTGGAGGAGGCTCGTCCGTGGTCGCAGAGTGGAATTGGTGTGTGTCTCATCGAAGGCGACATCACGGCTGCGAATCAGCTGTCTGGTGATGGGGTTGAGGATTAAGTAGTCTGGGGAGTCGGAGTTGTGCCCCAGGTACATGCAGGTCTGGGTTTTGGGACCAAGCTTGCCACCTTGCTTCTTGCGCGTGTGGGGGCTGAGCAACACATACGCGGTACACCCCTAGACGCGTACAGAGCTGGCGGAAGGCGTGGCCCCAAGCCAGAGAGTGGTAGGTGTGGTGTTGGGCCGGTGTTGATGCGGATAAAGATTGTAGAGGAGTGCTGCATGGAAGAGGGCATATCCCCAGAATGACCGTGGTGCGTTGGCGTGACGGAGGAGGCAGCGAGCAATCTGACCCAAGGTGTGGTTGCGGCTCTCTGCAATGCCGTTCTGCTGGGGGCTTTCAAGGAGCATGAAGGTTTGCCAAATCCCTTGGGCTGCACAGAAGATATCGAGTTTCCCATTGCAAAATTCACCCCTGCCATCAGAATGGAGGCACTTCAGAGGAGTGCCGAACGTGACTTGAGCCTGGCGCACCCACGCCATGATGACATCAGGTGCCTCTGCCTTGGTATGCAGGAGGTGCACAGAAATATACCACGAGTGGTCATCGACTAGTGTAAGAAAGTACCGATGACCGCCTCGGGATGCGACTGGAGCTGGGCCCCAGACATCCATGTGCACTAGGTCCAGCGGAGTAGCTGCGAAGGATGGGGAGGAAGGGTGCGGCTGCTGCCTGAGCGTGCTCTTGGTTCAGTCGAGGCAGGTGGGTGCAGATGAGTCTGTTGGTGGAGGAAGCGCCGACGGGAGGCCAAGAAGAAGTTTCTTGGAAGCGATATCGGCAAGTGTATGGAAGTTTGGGTGACCCAAGCGATGGTGGTAGAGGATGGTTGGGTTGGCAAAGCTGCGACAGGAACACAACGTGGTGCTGGCAGCTTGCGCTTCGGAGAGGGCGGCGAGAGGTGCAGGTAAACGCAGCGTGTAGAGCTTGCTGCTGTTGAGTGTGAAGCGTGCTAGGAGCTTGTTGGACTTAGGATCGAGGAGGTCATAGTGATCCGAGAATGCTGGGAAGATCGTGGTGACGCCTGCCCATTGGAGCTCCTGTTGGGCCACGAGATTGTGGCGTAGTGTGGGAACAAACATGCCAGTCACACTGCCCAAAGGGAAAGCTGGGCACGGAACTGAGGAGTAGCCCTTGGCGGGTGTTGTGAAACTGGAGTCTGCTCCTAGTAGACGGATTGGTGTCTCGTATGGCTTGAAGGAGTGTTCTTCTTTGAGAACTGTGTGAGTGGCCGCACTGTCGAGGGTGAACTCTATTGTGGCTGAGGTGCTTTGTGAGCCGCGACACTGCGAAATTGTCTCATTAATCATGGTAGTGCCTGGGAACAACATGTTCAGGCGCACATAAGTAGGTGCTGCCACAGCAACCTGAACACATTCCTGCACTCCGACTTGATTGACTTGGCGAGGAGACCGATTGACCATCCAGCTTGGCGGCTTCGAGGCGGTCCCATTGACAGCATAGCACTCGTTATCCTCTTCTTGAAGCAGGAAGCGAGGGCGTGGTTGGTGCCGCCACACACCTGGCCGGCAAGACGGCCGGCTTGATGATGTAGGGACATGGGGGGAAGAGGTTACGCTGGAATGGTGCCGAAGCGGCATAGGCTTGAGGCACGGGAGCGCGGATTGCATTGGCCTTGGCTTGAGCGCTGCTGTCCTTTTCGGCAGAAAGGAACACGGATGAGACCTTGGCAAATGTGAGGTCCGCAGAAGCAAGGCCCAAGAGCATCTTGCGTGTGACTTAAGGCCCAAGAGCATCTTGCGTGTGACTTCGTATGCCGGAGTGAGTCCGACTAGGAAAGTGTTGTGTGATGTCATCATATGCTATCACATTCTGTCTGCCTCCCATCCCATGTTTTCAACTTGCATGTGTGGTTTGAATGTGCAAGCATTTGTGTGTGGTGTGTTCTGGAGTTTGGGAATGTGTTCTGTGTTATTTTTGTTTGAGCAGGTATTTGTGATAATAGATCTTGAGAAGATCTTTCCGACGCAACAAGAATCGCTTCAATCGGAGCAAGAACGCGAAAGCTATGAAGATTCAAAGTTCATGAGCTTGCGTTACAATTGCGGCGGTTACTAAGTGAAGTTGTGGGGTGACTTTATATGGAGTTGGGACCTTTGGGGTTGGGGAAACTTGTCACTCTACTGTAACAGCTGCAAATAGGTTGGGAACAACCAAGCTAGGTTGGCAAGGGTGGCCAACTTGGATGGATTGGTTGGGAAGGGACAAAGGTCAAAGTTGAGGTTCTTATAGGGAGGGAATCTTTGTGCTTATGGGGTTTCCTTGGTTGGGGACTCTCTTGGGACCTTCCCTCTCATCCCTCTCTTCTATCCCAACCTTTCTCTTGCTCCTTTAATTCCTTGTGAGATTCTTGAACTTTGATTGAACTCTTGAGATTGAGTTAAGTTCTCCTCCTACAGCTTACCCCCTAGTGCGTCGAAAGCCATAGCGTCGCGAATACTTCATCAATCAACATGATTCAAATTGTGAACGGTAGCTGAGATTAAGAGCTACAACATATCCAAGTTTCGCGACATTCCAACGCTAGTTTTTGGTCGACGTCGTTTCTTGTGAAGACGACTTTTCTGTCCAGAATTTCGGATTTATATTTTGAGTAATTCTAGCTCCTAAGTTCACCTAGACTCCATCCTTAATCCTAACAGAGAGAGGCTGCAGGGGCTTGCTCGGGGAAGACTATCCCCAACTGTTTGAGTTCGCCATGAATGGACTGCACCTTGGTGACATAGTCTGCCATGCCTGGCGAGTCCTCGAGCCGCACTTGGAACATGCTCGGGATGAGTCTAGCAACTCCCACTGCAGTCTTGTTCAGGAAGCGGTCTTCGAGGTAGAGCCAAATGGCGTTGGCAGACGGGTAGTTATGGTAGGTTTCGACGAGTTCGAGAGGAGTGGCGCCCATGAAAACACTAATGACCGCACCATCGGCCTTCTCCCAATTCTTGTACTTGAGTAGTGCAGCAGCATAAACTGCTTCGGCGGCAGCATTAGCTGGATTGGCGGACGTCTCGTGTTTAGGAGGCTCTTTGCCGTCAGCGATGTTGATAAGGACGTCGGTGAGCTCGAGCCCCTTCACCTCACGACTGAGGAGGTGCATGTTGACACCATAGCGTCAAGCCTTATAGTTGGAGCATGTACCGTCCGGCTCAAGACGAAGGAGCGGGATCGGGTTGTAAGCCATTGCCGTTTGATTTTCACAAAGCGATGCTCTTAAGTTTCCGATAGGAACTTCAGTGTGCACCGCGGCACTTCTGGAAATCGGTCGACGAGAATTGCTGAAAATCACTCTGACGGCTTCATCGAAATGCCGAAAAGAAGGAAATGGCATCGGCGAAATTTCGTTAAAACGCCGACTTGAAACTGTATCTAACCCCGGACCCACACACCACCCCACATACCCCCAGACCCTGTCCCGCAGCTACACAGCTCTGCAACCAGCTCCGCAACCAGCTCCGCAACCAGCTCCGCTCCGCTTCCACCTGTGTACCTGCTCTGGCTTGACGCGAGAGGCTCGTTAAAGATTGATGGCTAAAGCTCTACACGCTGTGTTCACCGGCTCTCCTCTACAATCTTTTTCTGCATCCCCACCGGCCCGACACCACACCTACCACTCTCTAGCTTTGGGGCACGCCCTCCGCCCGCTCTGTACGCGTCTGGGGATGTACCGCATATGTGTTGCTCAGCCCCTACATGCGCAGGAAGCAAGGTGGCAAGCTTGGTCCCAAAACCCAGACCTGCATGTACCTGGGGCACAACTCCGATTCCCCAGACTACTTATTC